GAGAGAACAGCATGAGCCAACCACAGGGAATTAGAGGTAGAAGGGGTTTGAAGGGAACAGCTGTTTTTAAAAAAAGGTGACAAAAGCAGGCAAGACTTAAAGGCCTGGCCTTGGCAGTAGTCAGCTGAGGGAGAGAGAAAGTTAGTCTGATTTCTTGTTCTATGGTTGCCCTGGAGGTAAATGTAAAAAATTATGATAGTCTCTCCTATATAGGGCTAGGCTAGCTTTTTTTACTTCCTTAGGGCATATATGAAAGCAGTTTTCCTGGAATTGGGCTCAACTTGCTCTTCTGTGTTCCCTTTTTCTTCTCACCCTCTGCTACATATCTACACATCCAGTTTTTCCTGCCAGCGAGCTCCTCCTTTTCTCCGGCTGCTAGTCCCAGCTGTCATCTTTGCCTCCCATCCCCCATCCCTAGTTATGCAATTTTACATTATGCTTCTCCTGGGTTTGCTGCCTCCATTTTTAATGCTCTGCCTGCTACCCCCTCTAACATCAGCTTCTAGTCTCTTCCTCCCTTAAAGCCAGTAACCACTGTTCAGTTTCCCTCTTTATCCTACTGTTGCTCTGAATGCACTGATATTAATACTTTCCAAAACTCTTGCAGATCTGAGCCCAGTCACTTAAGATAGTGGGTGGGGAAGAGGGTGGGGTGGGAGGTGGTTTTCTAAAATTTAGGGTTATTCCAAAATATTGGATGGCCCTTGACCTAGGGAGCAAACAGACGCTTCTGTTGGCCTCCCAACTTTAGGCAGTGTGTGTTTTCTTGTTGAAGGTACATACTTGTTTGAAAGCCCTTAGTAATGAAAGGCAGGGCAGTGAGTCAGACTCTGAACCTCCTGTTGCTGCTGCTGAGAGCTGGTTCTTTTCCTGGATTGAAGCTAATTTTGGATGGATAATGAGGTGGATGGTTGCTAATAACTTTCCCTTGCTAATTGTGATTTCACAGTACTTTGTAAAGAGGGTTCTTTCCTTTTCTCTTTTTCTTTTCTTTCTTTTCCATGCTGTTTAGAGGGGACATAGATCTGTTTTCATGAGTGTTCAGCTATCAAGGAATTCCTTAGTTTGGTTAGAGGCAGCACAGTTTATTGAAAAGAACCCTAGACTAAGCTGAAGACCTGCATTCTACTCCCAGCCCCACTCAGGATTAGCTGCCTAAGTGATCTTGGGCAAGTCATGAACCTGTATCTGCACCTGCCCTATGTATGAACCTTGTAGAACTGTGTGAATGAAATGAGATGTGATGTATGTGGAAGCACTTTGCAAACTGTGAAGTTTTATAAAAATTTCAGGTGCTGCCCTTTATTAATTTAGCTCCTGACTACAGCACCAGAGAAATGTTTCCAATGTCTTGTAAATTCCTTCCTTCTCTGAAGCCAGCCTTCTCCAGAACAGGGCATTGGAATCATCAGAACTAGAGGCAGTCTTGCCTCAGAATCATCTTATCTTTCCACACTGTTCACCCTCCCCCAGTTGCTTTAGGAACTCTTTGACCCAGTGCTTCTCTATCTCCATTCTGTAATAAGATTATAATTTTATGGAGTTAGTGATCATAGTATGTGGCACAATCGGTCAAAGGTTCCTGGCTTTTTGTGGTCAGGAATAATTATTTATTTATTTATTTATTTATTTATTTATTTATTTAACTAAGTGGTGACAAAGCATATCTTTAACTTAAGTAAACCTTTTCAGGCCAGTGAGATACATTGACCACAGTTGTGGTGTTAAGAGACCATGCTTTCACTTTGGGTTCCAGGTCAGACTCTTGTTATTAGCATGTTACTGTGGGCAAAATATTTAACTTTTTTGGACATTAGTTTCCACATCTTTAAGGAGATTATAATGGCACTTATCATATAAGGCCATTGTGAGGAGTAAATGAGATAATGAATAAAGTGCTTAACACATTGCCTAATCATATAACGCATACTTAGAAAATGTCACCTGTTACTGTATATGTCTAATAACAATAATAACAATAATGGCCTTCAAAGAGCACAGAAAAATGTCCATTGTTGGCATTTTAAAGGATTTTTTATTTTGTGTTTTAAAAGTTCATTTAAATATACATCATATAATTTACTAATGCAAAGAACATTTTTGTCTTGGTCCCATTTTCCTTGATACAGGTAGAAAATTGAACTGACTTAGATCAGCATTCCTTCTTCTTAGCAGGAAGTCTTGCCCAGGGTGGCATGATCAGGCCAAGTGCCTTGCCCGGTTGTGTGCAGTGGGAATCATAGTCAGACTGTTTCTCAGCTACCTATGAATTGTGTGGTATTAGGACTTGGGGTTACAGTGGAATTGGATGGATTCTTGGTGAAAGGATACTTTCAGGCATCCCTTTTACATTAGTATTGTCAACAGATTGACAAACAGGCTGAAGTCTAGGCCTGCTTTGAAGTACAATACAGAAGAAGGAAAAAAGTACAAAAGAAATCCACTAATAGTTCTAGGGCATAATCAAGTACATAATTAACAGCATTTGAGAGGCTGTAACTCCCCAAGTTCACAGATAATGTGGTAAGACCATTTGCGATTACCACTTATGGTTAAGAATATGATTAAAACAGAATAATACTTTTACTGTATTTCAGGGATTTACTGATAATCAGTTTTCTCTGGTGATTGAACCAGTAGTAAAATAAATAAAACCAGCTTCCTCTTTCTTCCTTCCTTTCTCTCTCTCCTTCCTTTCTTCCTCCCTGCCTGCCTTCTTTCCTTCCTTCCTTCTTCTTTTTCTTTTCTTTTCTTTTTTTTTTTTTTGAGACGGAGTCTCGCTCTGTCACCCAGGTCAGAGTGCAGTGGCATGATCTCGGCTCACTGCAACCTCTGTCTCCTGGGTTCAAACGATTCTTCTGTCTCAGCCTCCCAAGTACCTGGGACTACAGGTGAGCACCATCACGCCTGGCTAATTTTTGTATTTTTAGTAGAGATGGGGTTTCACCGTAGTGGCCAGGCTGGTCTTGAACTCCTGACCTTGTGATCCTCCCACCTCAGCCTCCCAAAGTGCTGGGATTACAGCGTGAGCCATTGCACCCGGCCCTCTTTTACTTCTTCGTTTATATTAGCTGGCATTGACTTTGACAGATGGGCAGGTGGTAGTTTGTGAGACTGAGACATGGCTCCTTGTATACCAGTATTTGACAATGAGCTCAGCTCTTCATGCAGGGGCTTGGGGGCTCCTTTCTGTAATTCTAAAGCTTCTCCTCTATCTGAGAATGACATCTGTTGGGCTTCTTAGGGCCTCTGGTAGATATTTCCTTACAAGGAATGCATGCTGGATCTGAAGAGGTAGTTTAAAATGGCATATTAAAGGCAGAACGTTTAGTCTAAGCCTGTTAATCACTGCATTCCTGTGCTCCCCAGATTCTGAAAATGTCAGGAATTGAAAGACTAGTATGAATTTGGAGGTCTTGGCCTCTACTTGAGTAAGTATAGTACCTCCATTAATGTTCTTAGTCCATGGTGTGGGGTTATCACCAAAGGCAAATACTGCTATGGATGTAAACAGGAATTTTTCCCTTTAGTAACCTCCATTTTCAGCTAGCCCTGTTACATCCTTGGCTTCTGGACTGTAGGAAAACAGTTCCATTTATTTCATCCTTTCCTCTGGAATGTTCTTAATCTGATGTTGGCAGATCCTGACCTCACTCCCTGCTCACTGCAGAGGGGCTGGCTTGGCTTATGCAGCAGGCCTCCCAGGGGAAGTTTCCAAGCCAATCAGAATGCCCTCTTTTAGTGTCTTTCCTTATACCTTAGGATACTGTCTGAATCAACAGAAATGCTGAATGAACCCTAGGTGGAGTGGAAGGGTAAGAGAGAGTATGCTCGCACTCTGAATTTTGTTTCCTGTGGACCTAACTCCAAGTTTTTAAATTAAGCCTGAATTTTTTTTAACTCTTTCTGCCATTTCCACCTTGTCTTATGGAAGTGTAACCCCAAGCAAATTACGGGCAATTGGAGGTAGGCATCAACTTTAGTTCCTGGGCAGTTCCTGAGAGTATTGGTTGAGGCCTGGCCTTCACCCTAGTGTTTGGTTTAATTCATCAGTGTACATTTCTCGTTCTTCTGAGCTGGCTTCTAGAAGCCAGGCAATTCAACTGTATAGAACCTGTCAAATACCATAGCTTTTCAGATTTTTCTAGTTAATGGATCTCTGGGGTTACGGAGGGCACAGTCCCTCCATTTGCTGGCAATAGTTGGGTTGCTGGGATTGTTGGTCCCACTTCTGAGTTGACCCAGAAAGTATTAATATATCTCACTGTGGTGTGAAGTACAGACTGTCTTGTTCTCCTGAGACTGAGGGTCTGCATTCAGGAAAAGGCTGCCTAATATGGACAACTGGGTTGTTTGTTTGCCATTGGCCCAGGGAAGACTAGGAGGTGGAGAAAGTCTAATCTGAACCCAGGATAGAATCCTGTGTGAGAGAGAAATTTGCTATTCTTTCAGTTGAAATTTGCACTCTGAATCCCAAGAGAAGGCACCAGTAGGTCAGTTAATACTTCTTGTTGAGGCTTGCAAAAGACACTGCATTTCTAACAAAGCGTTTACCCATCCAAAAGAGAGATCCTGATTTGGCATATAAAACTACTGCCTCTTCTGGTTATCTTTCATCACTTGCTGAGTTTGAAAAGGTAATAAATGGTTTGTGTTTTAAGGAAAGAGGCTCTTCCCAAGACCTGAGGCTTTCTCATTCCTACCAGCTGGGCCCATTGCTAAAATGCTTTCCAGTGGGCTTGCTTCTGCCTGGCCAGCACCTGGGCTGCCCCAGCTTGTAATTAGCCTGCCTTTGCTTCATAAGCTTCCCAGGGTGTGGTTCTTCTTCTAAAAGCTTGTATGAATTGCTGTACTGTCTCTTTATAGTTTAAAAATGAATCCTTTTTTGTTCTTTGCAACTCATTTGCTTTTTTCTTTTCTTTTAATTACTATTAACACCTGTTGATTCTTTTTTTTTTCTGATTGGCCTGTCACTGCATTCCTGCTCCCCCTCCCTCTAGCTGGGTTTGTCAAGTCGCCCATGTCAGAAACTAAGCTCACGGGGGACGCCTTTGAGCTGTACTGTGACGTGGTCGGGAGCCCCACGCCAGAGATCCAGTGGTGGTACGCAGAAGTCAACCGGGCAGAGTCTTTCAGACAGCTGTGGGACGGTGCTCGGAAGCGCCGTGTCACCGTAAACACCGCCTACGGGTCAAACGGCGTGAGTGTGCTGAGAATAACCCGGCTCACCTTGGAGGACTCTGGGACTTACGAGTGCAGGGCCAGCAACGACCCCAAGAGGAATGACTTGAGGCAAAACCCTTCCATAACATGGATTCGAGCCCAGGCCACCATAAGCGTCCTTCAGAGTGAGTCCAGCACCCTACAGTAGTAGTACTGTAGTCATTAGAGGTGGCCCGATGACCCTTCCCTTCTGCATCCTTTCCCTCTTCCCCAGTATGATCACTCACCCCACCCCTTGTCTTCGTTTTTTTTTCCAAACCCATGACCCTTCTGGTTGTAGTGTATGAAAACATCTGTGGCAACTTTTTTTCTTCTTTTCTTTGCCGTCCTTTCTGCCTCCCTTATTCCCCAACCCTTCTCTGTGTCTTTCTTCTCAGGAACAAAGAACTTGAGGAAATCCGTGACTGTCCAAAATCATCTGTGTTGGGGAGAGTTGCTGGGGGGAGAACTGGGAAGCTTAAAAAAAATTAAAACCAGGCGGTCTAAGGAGGGTAGTGTTGAAATGGTTTCTTTCCCTCCCCTTTGATTTTGTAGTAGGTTTCCTGCTATACTTTTGCTGATTTCTTCTCTGGTGCCTTTCTATTTTTGTTTCTTTCCCCAGTCTAACTACTTTTTATTTCTTCTGTTCTTCTGTTTGAAGCTCTCTAAGTAGCTGCCTTCACCTCTATGGTTTTAAGTTTGTGTCTGCCCAGCCTCTTCCCTTACTGTGACTTGGTGTCATCTTGTGATGGGAATGTTGCCATGGGTACAGTGTGGTGGTGTGTTTTGGTTGTTGGGTGGCATGTAAGCTTGGATATTTTCATAGTTCCAGCTCCTTTTCTTTTCTAAAACCGTGGCATTGCTTCTCTGATAACAGCCCTCTACTGCAGCAGTGTACTCCTCACTGGGCCTGCTAATTAGTCTCCTCTTTAAAAGCAGCAGCCTGGAACTTCCTTCATATGTTTTGCTATTAGGAGTCAGGTCACACTAAGCTGCAAATTATTCTTTTTTTAACCTATCACACTGTCTGGAAGTCAGAGTTGCAGTTGATTCCTGTTCATGGTTTGACTCTGATGAGTAGCTATTGGCACAGTGTGCCTTATCCCAAAGGATGGGAACTCCAGACATAGTGTGGGGACCACTCACACTGGCCCTTTCTTTGTGTCTTGAAAAAAGAGGAAACTAACTTCCAACCTGGTTTCTCGACATGATGGGGTGAGCTGACCAGCTGGCTCAGAATCCTCCCCTTGTAGCAGGTATGTGTGAGACGTATGACACCGGGACTTTTGTGGCCACTTCTCTCTCTTTCTCAAAAGTGACTTGCTACCTTATGTTGGAAAGCAGAGGGAGGGAGAAGCCACCACAGAACCAATGTTCCTGGCCAAGAAGAGTTCTGGCCCCACATCAAACCTGGTTATAATTGAGGGGACATTCACTTTTGGAAAGATCCTCTGGGGTTTTCACCTTTTCTTTGAGGACACAATGAGAGATCTATAGCCAGTTCTAGCTTAAAGAGCTGATTGATCTAGAGAAAGTAAGACTAGTAAAATCTTGCTTTGATGAGGAATTTGGTAATACATAAAGTAGTAAGACATGGGCCTTGAGTCTATATACTTACATGGAAAACAGCAAATTAGTGTCTGTTCTTTGTAGCCACTTGAAGATCCCTATGGGTTAAAAAAGAGTCCTTTGTAGGGCAGTGGTAGGAGAGGCTGCTGCAGTTGGCACTGTTGAATCAGAGAACCTGCTTCTGGAAAGAGGAAAAGAAAACTTTGTCTGTGTGAAAATGGGGAACATTAACCCAGTGATTTTTTTTTTTTTAAACAATATTTTCCCCCTGCACGCCTCCTCCTCCTGCCCCCCTTGCTCCTTTCCTTATAAAAGCAGAATTACCTACATGGCCACAAAGGTCTGTGGAAGTTTATAGATATGGACTGGGCTGGGCATTTGCACTTGTACTTCCAAGAGCCTGACTCATAGCTAGAATGACCATGCCAAGGAGCTAGAAAAAGATGTGGCTTTGGGATACCGACCTGCCAATCCCGAGAATACATAGGATTCCCCCAGTTCACTTAGAATTGTCTGCATGTGGTTGAACCAAATCCTGGCTAGGCTCTCTTCAGACTTCCCCATCAGTCAGTTAACCCTAGTTAGCTGTTTTGGAGAGCCGGGAGTTTGCTGCTGCTGCTGCTGCTGCTGCTTTTTTTTTTTTTTCCAAACACCCTGGATCCAACTCTAATTGGATTGTTTTATGATCTCAGCATCCCAAAAGACATTGCCTCTATGGGAAGGTCAAGTGTTCTATCTAAGAATGACCTCCTGGTAGTACTTTCCCCAGAGCTCGTTGAGTATGTAAGGCAGGAAGAGAAGTGTGCCCAGTTTTTAGGTATCTCTCTGGCCATATAGGGTAAGGGTCTCCTATCCACTGCTTTTAAATAGACATCAGTGACAGGTAAACACATTTGAGCTTCTCCTAAATGTTCATCTCTCTTGGACTTTGACTGGGCAGCGCTTGGCCACAAAAATAAAAGCCCCACCTTCATCCTGGTGCAGAATGCAGATGAGGCACCATGGCCAAAGAACTTGGTGTAGCACTGTTTTTCATATACAGCAATCACAGGAGGCAGGTTACCCTACCCCACAACCCTCCTATGGTGCAGAATCATATTTAAACCTATTTAAATTATCCACTTGCTCCCAGCTGACTCTCTCCTGGATCTTTAACACTTAAGGGAAAAAGTGCTTTCCTTTGCCTTCCAAGAATTCTTGACAGAAAGTCTACCAGGTTGCTTTCATCAACTTCTTAATCTCCCTGAGCTGCAGTGGTCATTTGCATCGCCACAGGTAAGAGTAGCATTTACTTTGGCCTCCTTGTATTTAAACATCTGGAAGCTCTTGGCCTCATTCTCAGAGTTTACCCTTTCTCAGTGCAATCTGAGAGGAATAGCCAGAAGGAGAGTCCCAAGTGGGACAGAAAATGAAATTGGATAATTAAAATTCAGTAAAAACCTAAAAGTGTGTTTGGGTTTTAATGTTGCCTTTATATTTTTTTAATTTCTCTTCTGTGGAGTACTGGTTCTATCTTTTTCTCTTTTGTTTTTGCTTGGTTTTGATTTTTCTTGGAATTGTGATGCTTTCTGCTGATGGTGTGTGTGCGCGCCTTCCATTGCAGGGTTTGCAGCCGTTTCTGCTCGACTTCTTAAGGCCCAGGGATTTGGCTTCTGTCCAGTGTGTCTTGGAAACCATGGGACACCACTGCGCTAACGTGTTTACATGCATCTGCTTCTGTCTTAGTGGCTGCTATGCCTCCATTATCTGTACATAGAGACCCTGTTTGATGTTACTGATAAGGACCAGTGCTGAATGGAAGATAACCGTTATCCTTTTGCCAGAGTTGGAAAATAGAACTAATTTGTTAATTGAGCAAACTTAAGGTTTTGCTTTATTACAAGTTTCTTCAAAGACATTAACTCTACAAATCAGAAATGTTACATCGTTAGGAGGTCCTTAAGACATTACATTTTCCAGGTATCCCACGACTTCCCCATGCTTTCCCCCTCCCTGAATAGCAAGCAACTTAGTTCCCATGGAGGGAGAGAGTTCTTTCCTCAAGTTAAGGCTCAGCACAATACTGTATAAAATGGTGAGGGGAGCTGCTGCAGAGCTGTAGACAGGAAGTGGCTAGACACAGGGAAATGGGAAGTCAGTCAAGGGTTTCTGAGAGAGAATTGGAAAACAAATAGCAAATACCTCTTATTGTGGTTGGGAAAAGATGGTTAGTGTAGACTTAACCTGGAGATGTTTGACCAAAAGTAGAGAAAACTAAGCCTGGGGAAATAATAAAGACAAAGCACCTTAACAAAAGACAACAACCCTAGAAATGACTTTAATACAGTGATGGATTTCAAAGTGCTTTAAAGATGAAACTTCCAGGAATAATATAGAGTGATTTTAAGCATTTCTGTTCAATGTATTATAATATTTGACTCAAGTAGGTTATTTTTGTAGATACGCTAGTGATCCCTGGTTATCTAAGCACAGAATAGAACCAGAGGTGAAGTATGTCCTAGGACAAAAGGTGGCGGGGGTGGTCTTGGGGCTGGGGGGCAGGGATAGAGAATTCAGTCAGATATGTCTTCTAGGCCCAGCTTTGCCATTAGTGATACTTATGGCCTTGCACAAATCATTTCACTTTTCCAGCTCTTAAAATTTAAGAGTGGGATTCAATGAACTCTAAGGGCCCTTCTAAAATTCTAGGAGCCCATAATACCAACACAATATTGCACTCTAGTTATATTTTCTCAGAATGGAATGTGTTTTAAAGTGCAATTCTGGAAAACAAAAACAAAAAAACAAAAAACTTGTTTTGGGAATAAGTATGGCTGGAGAGGAAGAACTGATGATGCTTTTTCAAGAATTTTGCCTCCACAAAATTTGGAAAATGCAAGTGAATTCCAGTAGGAAGTATGCTTTTAGAATCCACAGTGTCTTTTTTCTGCATAAATAATGGCCATGGCTGGTTTGCCATAGGTTTAATATTTAAATGTGGGGAAAGTTATACTTGTATTATCTAATTATTACTGTTCCAAGGCCCAGTGACACAATAGGGAGTATATTATAATAGGTATATAAATGATATGGCCTTTGTCTTCAGAACGGAAGGTGGAGCCTGGTTTTCTAATTGAATCCGAATTGTTTGGTGGTTCTTTTAAAAAGGTGGTATTCAAAAGCGTAAGTGGATTGTTACCAGTACAAACACCCATAATACTCCCATTCTTTCACGTCTAGGCCAACTGGTCTTCAGGCTGTTGTCTGCGCTAGTGGTCATTTGCTTATAATCATTGTTTTTCCTTTCTTGACTTCCTCCAAAGTGGTAAAGTGAAATTCCTCATGTGGTCCTGTCTGCCCTCCCTCTTTTTCTAGTTTCCCCCTCCTACCCCGTCCAATTCTCAGGCCAGGGCTACAGAGGATGGAAGGCTATTGCCCCCTATCATTGTGCACTCTTATTACAGAGCCAAGGATTGTCACCAGTGAAGAGGTCATTATTCGAGACAGCCCTGTTCTCCCTGTCACCCTGCAGTGTAACCTCACCTCCAGCTCTCACACCCTTACATACAGCTACTGGACAAAGAATGGGGTGGAACTGAGTGCCACTCGTAAGAATGCCAGCAACATGGAGTACAGGTGAGAAGGGTGGGCAGCTCCTGGGAAGGTGGGAGGGAGTGTGGCTGAGCTTACTTGACATTCATAATCCATAGTTGTGCCATGCAGGAGGGACATGAGATATATTTGGCTCTCCCTTGGAGAGTCCAATCCAGTATATCTCAGGTAAGGCCCAGTAGTCTAGAAAAGATTCCCAAAGGATTCTAATGAGCAGCCAGATTTGAGAACCATAGATTATCCCCTCACTATAATCATAGAGAAACTGAGGCCATGAAGTAGTGATTTGTTCAGGGTAACAATGCTAGTCAATAGGAGAGTCACACTTAGAATGTAGTCTCTTTGCCTAATCTAGTCAGATCGAAGTTAGGTTTGAAGAAACAGATTGAAGTCTGCTTTGTGACTGTAGAGCAAGACATCTCCCTAAGCCATCTTTCCACTGGGTAGATTTCCTGGTGAATTCCCTTTTAGGAGTGTGTAACATCACTGTAACCTGGTAAGGACCAGCGGATGCAGGGCTCTTGAATGATCTGGAGTGAGGATGGTAGCCTGGAAATAACCTTTGAAGAAAGAAAGATATTTGCTGGCTAGAGTTACCCAGCACCCAAATATTTGGTGCTTTTTGGAATATCTAGCACACATGGCACCCCACGTTTCAGAATAGTTTGTTCCTGGTTGAAAACTGTCTGGAAAAGAATCAGCTAATCCTGCTTAGAAGGTTAATACAGTGCAAAGAAAGAGAGCACTGAAGTGAGACCAGGAAAGCCCACGTACCCGTGATGGCAAAGGCATTCTGCAGGATATTGCAGCATTGAGACCTTTTCACACCCCTTATTTAGTTGATCCAAATGAATCTGTGGCTCCTCCTTTTTTCCCAAGCAAGGAAGGAGTGACTCTTGGCTGCTTTAAGGCCAAATACTGTATTTAGTAAGTTCTAGAACCAAGGCTAGGTTCCAGGTCTTCTGATTTTCTAGAAGTTTTTCTAGAATTGCTTTTATTTTATCTGCTATGCCATTCGCTTAGTGGCAAAGTAGTTAACCTATCTCCACTGTAGTTTCTTCTGATAAAAAAAAAATTAGAAATTTAGCCTCAGCGATTTTCCTCATAGTTTGGAAAGGATTAATCAAATAAAGTTGTTAGGTGGAATGAAAAGCATTTTTTTCTGGTTCTGTCCATTAGTTTTACAGACTTGATTTTTTGTTGTTATTTTATTGAGACAGGGTCTGGCTCTGCCTCCCAGCCTGGAGTGCAGTAGTGCGGTCTCAGCTCACTGCAACCTCTGCCTCCCGGGCTCAAGCCATCCTCCCCAGTAGCTGGGACCACAGGTGCACACCACCATACCCGGGTAATTTTTTTTTGTATTTTTTGTAGAGACTGGGGTTCACCGTGTTGCCCAGGCTGGTCTTGAACTCCTGAGTGCAAGCAGTCTTCCCACCTTCGCCTCCCAAAGTGCTGGATTTACAGGCGTGAGCCACTGCATCCAGCCTCAGACTTGTTTTTTATAATACATCCTTTAAGATAGCAGACATCCAATTATGTTTCTCTTGGGTCTTGTACTATTGCCTGCAAAGTGTTGAGCTTTAACTTCATGAAGTTTCAGCCTGACTTTATAAAATGCTTCTTCTCTCTTTTTTTCCCCCCTCAGCTTATTTGAAGCTCTCCAAGGGTGTTGTGTATCTCTAGAGTTTTTCAGGGATTCTACATTTTGTGGAGTAACAACTGATGAGTTCCTTGGGCTACTTAATAAGTCAGCCTGAAGAGCCGATTTCAGAACCCTGCTTCTGCCCAGCCTGTAGGGGATGTTATCCCTTTGCTTTAATTTCTTGCTAATAGCTAGTCCAAGAGAATGGTGTGGGGAGATTTTGAGCCTATAGGCATGGACTCAAGTGTAGGAGTTATCTTCCCAAGTATTTCTCAAAGAACTTAGAAGTCTAAGAACTTCAGTCTTAAGTTCAGGACTGAGTTTGAGGAAGGAGCAGCAGCTTTTTCTTCAGAGCTTAGACCCAAAGAACTTCAGTTTAAGCCCTGAAGAAAGAGCTGCTGCTCCTTCCTCAAACTCTGGAACACTTGTTTGATAAGAGCAGCTGACTTGTCTGTTTTCCAATTGGGAGCATACTGATAGAAGAGGCATGGTGTCACATTGAGAAGACACCTTGACTGCTTCTCCCAGAATATTGTGCTGCCATGTGGATATCTTGAGACAGTCCTGGGGATAGGCTATGTCTCTCCTTGTCCATAGTCTCTTAACCTGTGTTTCCTTTTTGGAATGAGCAATATAAGATGGATAAATGCATTAGGCCAGTGAGTGGTTGAGTTTAGGAGTTTTTCTTAGACATTAAATAGTGCAGTAGAGATTTGACCGTCACAAGTATCATATTTTAACCCCTAAGCAAAAGAGCCAGAGCTCAGCCCTATATAAACATTTATCCTCTGATCTGGAGGCTGCTGTTTTTCTTTTATCTGTAATTTCTCACCGACCTTTCTGCACATGTTTGGTGTATGTGCTTGTAGGCCAGAGTGTACTGAGTTGATGTGTAGTTGGCCCTCAGGGGCAAGAAAGCTTGTTTGGAATCACCCTGTGTGATTGAGATGAAGTGCTGTTCTGGCCATATATACTACTTTTTCTTTTTTTCTTTTTTTTTGAAACAGGGTCTTACTCTGTCACCCAGACTGGAGTACAGTGGCATGATCATGGCTCACTGCAGCCTTGACCTCCCAAGTTCAAGTGATCCTCCTGCCTCTTAGCCTCCCGAGTAGCTAGGACTATACGTGCACCACCATGCCCAGCTAGTTTTTTAATTTCTTATAGAGACAGGGTTTCGCCATGTTTCCCAGGCTGATCTCAAACTCCTGGGCTCAAGCAGTCCACCCACCTCAGCCTCCCCAAGTGCTGGGATTACAGGTGTGAGCCCCCGCGCCCGACCCATACAGTCTTCTTACAGTCCTTCCTGTCACTCTGCTTAACTTGATCTGAATCTGTGCACAGATATTCACTCTGTGTTCACTCAGTAATTCATTCATTTATTCATTCCCCTGTCATATTCCAGGCACCAGGCGAGGTGCTCTGTATGGGATAGTATGCCGAATAAACAGTGCCTATCCACATAGAACTTGGTCTCTTGGGAAGCCGGACATTAATCAAGTAATCACATAAATATATAATCACACACATGATAAGTACTGTGAAGAAGTACAGAGTAGTATGAGAGAGAATGTTGTGGAAAGGGATGACGTTTAGATTGGGGCTGGAATAAACTGACATGTAAGCCAAGACCTGATGGAAATGGAGTTAGGTAGACTAAGGGACGAGAAGAGCATTCTCTGTAAAGAAACATCTTGTGTGGAGGTTTTGAGGTGGGAACAAGCTTGGTGCTTGAAAAACTGAAGAGAGACCAGAAGAGCTAGACAGTGGCATGGGATGGAGCTAGGGATATAGACAGGGGCCAGATCATGTAGGGCCCTGGGGTTTATCATAAGACTTTTTGCTGCATGTCTATGGCTGATGCTCTGATGGCAGATTTTTTTCTTTTTCTTTATGCTTGGGTCCTGTTAGCGAGTAGACTTGTGGAAAGGCATGCTACTAAAGGACAAGGTAGGAAGAACAGAACTACCAAAACAAGGTCTTTGGAGAAGCTCAGAAAACTTGTGCTTTTTGTTTGTTTGTTTCTCTTCTTGTTTATCTAACTGGAACCACCAGGTGAACAAGAGGTTTTTAGTGATTTTTGTCATTTGCTTTTGTTTTTCTGAGATAGAGTCTTGCTCTGTCGCCCAGGCTGGAGTGCATTGGCGTGATCTTGGCTCACTGCAACCTCTGCTGCCCGGGTTCAAGTGATTCTCCTGCCTCAGCCTCCCAAGTAGCTGGGATTACAGGCGTGTGCCACCACGCCCGGCTAATTTTTTTATTCTTAGTAGAGACGGGGTTTCAGCATCTTGGCCAGGCTAATCTCGAACTCCTGATCACCCGTCTCAGCCTCCTAAAGTGCTGGGATTACAGGGATGAGCCACCACACCCAGCTGTGATGGCTTTATACTGTATATCTGAATATAAACTATAGTACTTTGGACATCCTTCTATTTTGATTACTTTTGCATTTTGTTTCTCCCAATAGACCAGAGCATCCTAAGGTTAGGGACCATGTTGCCATTCCATCTTTGTATTCTTGGCACCCTGTAAAGAGCAAGACATTAATGTTTTAGGATGCATAGAGAGGGATTTTTGCTTTTAGTTAGAAGGAGGTGAGTTGCATTGAGGGTTTGGAGAGCAGGATCCCGGATTGCCCCTTTGATTCTCCTTCTGTTGTATATTTTGACCATTCCCAGTTTCCTCACTTGGTTTTTCTTCTCATCTCTGCAGGATCAATAAGCCGAGAGCTGAGGATTCAGGCGAATACCACTGCGTATATCACTTTGTCAGCGCTCCTAAAGCAAACGCCACCATTGAAGTGAAAGGTACAACCCAGCAGAGGCTGTGGTGTGAGCCTCTCACTCTCCTTCCAAGACAGTACCTTGGTCTGGAGTCCCAGTCTTCAAGCTCCTCTTCTTTCCATGTCAAGACATAATTTAATGTTATGGTTAGGCCACAGGCTCAGGAGCCTGGCTGCCTGGGTTTAAATTCCGACCCCATCATCTACTAGCTGTGTGGCCTTGGTGGTTTACTAACTTCTCTTTGCTTCCTTTTCCTCATTTTTAAAATGAGGATATCAGCAGTACTTACATCATGGGTTTGTTAGGAGGATTAAATAAGTTAATAGATTGAACTACATAAAATTGCTGTTTTTATATGTCAAAAATGTTTCAGTGTTGGCAGCTCCTATGGCCCAAGGCTTTGTAAAGCTCTTAGGTCAGTGCCTTACAAGTATGATTACATAGGTCTTCTGTGGGCCAGCAGGATTGAGGGGGAAGGTACAGTGGGTACAGTGTGCAGAGCGGACATCAGCTGTTTGTGGATAATTCATTAGAATTGTAATAGAAACCTTTGAAAGAGGAGGCAGTAGTAGAAAGTTCCAAGAAGGGCAAACAGAACTATAAAAGTTGGAGCTACCCAACATCATAAATTTCACCTTTCCTATGTTATTTCAAAGAAGCATCTGAGACCCAGAAAAGTGAAACTTCTAGCTCTCTGTCACACAGTGAGTTTGTGGCAGAGCTAGTCTAGAACACAGGTCTTGACTCCCAATCCAGTGTTTTTTCTACTCTCACAAAATGATCATGAGGAGGCAGGGCTACTGTTTGAGGTCAGGTTTTCTATTTTCAGTCTTTCTCATTTTGCTTAGTAAGGACACCGACTTGTTCTTTAAATCCATAGAGTTATCCCTGGAAGCTAGAAGGACAAATTTAGGAGAAGGAAAGGGCCCATATAATAGGTATTCAGGTCTTCCTAAAATATTTGTAAGATTAAAATTGCAGATTCAAGAAAGGCTTAGACACATTGAAGGTTTCCATTATATGGTGTTATTAAATGAAAGTAATATCTTGGTGACACAGCCCTCACTTGTGAGTTGATGTAGGGATGGCCACTGCCTCCTCCATCTGCCAGTTTGATTCTGAATGCCTAAAGGAGTTACAGTCACAGTGGGCCAGAAAACTTGGCATTTCATTTTTTCAGTGGCTTTCCTTGGAGAAATCTTGGTTTCTACCCATTTTAGAAGAATGCCACATGTATTCAACATGAGGATGAAGGATGTGGGAAAACATTTTCTCTAAGCCAGTGAGGGCGTTCCCCAGCCTAGGTGAGCTGAATTGTGTAGGGAGACTTCTCTGTGAGACTTGAGGCCCTGCTGCATTCCTGGCTGAGCCTTTGGCACAAAGTCCAAGTGCAAAGGCAGGGTGGGTGAGGGAGGGAAAGATTGGGGTGTCTAGTTCATTGTGCTCCCCAAGCCTGAGATAATTAGTCCTAACTAACTGTAATTGTTAGTGACTTTGAGTTAATGATTTCTAAATAGCACTTTCAAGAGTGAAAACCGAAATGGTTTTTCCATCTGTTTGGCTGCTTAAGAAAGTGGGGTTTAGTGGCCCTAGAGGCATCTTTCTTCATATTCTCTTCAGCAGGTAGGAAGCAGCAGTTGCCAGGGTCAGAGAATAGGACGCTGTAGGCCAGGAGTATTATCAGAGCAAGTTACAACTTACGTGTTATATTCAAGGTGCTTACTGTGCACTGTTGCATTCTCACTGTACAAATAGCCCTATAAGGAAGGTGAGGCAGGTGGTGGTATCCTGGTTTTACAGAAGTAGACCTTGAGAGAATTCTGTTTTATAAATAACCTAAACCATATTCTGGACCACTTTGTATAGATATACTGTGTGTTTCTCTCTCAAGAAAATTTGTAAAGAATTCTAGTCTGTCTTCTCTCCCCAACACCTGGATAGAAAAGAGCTGAATGTTTAATGTCTTCTCTTCCAAGTTATGGATAGTTGAGTCTGGTAAAGACTTTGAACACTTCGCTTTTTCAGTATATGTTTTTAAAGGTTTGCCATAGGCCCAGGATCATATTCTGAGCTCACTTCCAATTGTGGTTGGGGTAGAAAAACTGCCTTGCATTTAGAGTAGTACATGTCTGTATGTTAGTTCCCAAAACATTTTAATAGAAACTCACATTTTATTCCCTTAGTGTCTCTGGGGTGGCGATAAGAGACAGTTATCTTTTTATAGCTGTAGCAATTTGAAAAATCTGCTGAGTAATAGAGAGTTAAGAGGTGGTTGTACTTGAGAACAAAGAGGTTCCGAGAACATCAGTGGCCTCTTGGCTGACAGGAGTCTCTGAGAATCTTCCTGTGTGGCTTTAACTGAATCAGCACATCAGGGCATATAATTCAGACCATGCATATATATTTCTTCAACGTCTATTCTGCTGTCAGCCATTTCTTTCCCATCTGCCTTTTCCTGTCTTTCAGAACATTTCTGGGGTGTTGTTTGGGCTCAGCACTGTGGGAAGTGATTTAGCCTAGCCAGGGACTGGGCATTATCTGTCAGATTACCAAACCTTGAGTTATCTGTGGTCTACAAAAGAAAAGAAGGCTGCAGGAACCAGAGAGAGGGATGGTGGCCTGGGAACAGAGCCAAGATGGTCATGTTTTTTAACCAAAGCCTGTAGATCACCGTCAAGAAAATTTGGAGGATAGGAGTTATCTACATGTAGTGGGGGAGGCCTTGTATCTGAAGCAGATTTTTAAATTCTCTTCCTTTTTTTTTTTTTTTAAAGGACACAATGTGACATAGTATAAACAGGAAGATACTGTCGAGGGTTACGTTTCTCAGGTATTCGGCAGGTGATCTGCACAGATGTGGAGAAGGAAGATGGACCTGGGCCGGTTAGGAGAGGGAAGACAGCAGTGATGAGGCCTTGTGGAGCCCAAAGCCCTGCCTTCCTGGGGGTCCACTCAGCTAACACTGAGGAGGCATCTTTATCCTCAGCTTGTGACTCTTCAGAGGCTGTGATACCAGAGAGTGCACACCTTACAGAGAATTCATGAATGAATAGATGTTGAAATTTTCTATCCCTATAATTTTTCAACCTTTTGCCCCTTACTCCTTCCCTCTTCTCCTTCCTTCCTTTTCTAAAATTAAAAATAAAAAAAATGCTCACAAAAAAGCAAATTGAAAATCCCGATATCATTTACAAAGTAAAAAGAAAAAACTTGCTCTCATGACTCCCAAGCACTATCCTTATCCCTTAACCATTTTGATTAGTACAGGAAAGAAGGAGTTTGAATTTTATTGCTGTTTTTGGAAAAGGATTTTGTTGGTCACCCAATCCTCTGCAACAAATATGTCACTGTCTCTTGTGAGAAGCACATCTCAGCCCAGAAGGGGCTTGAGCCTGTTGTCTTACTAGGTTCATCTCACCCTCCTCATTGGACATTTCAAATGAGTTTCAGTCTTTGGTTGCCGTGAGAGCCAGGATTGATCTTGTTTTTCTCCTCCCTACTCCTTAGCTTTCTCTATATTTGACTATTAAGAATAAAGGTTAGGATTTCTATAAGTGGCCTTGCCCTGCCTTCCTATTTCCTACTTTGTCATGGTGCGTTACAAGTGACATATTAATCCAGACTGGCCAAGGCAAGTGTGGTGGGGATGAAGATCATTGTGAAGAACAGTGATACGCAGACCACATTCGCACGGCACTTTCAGCATGCACAGCATCTCCACCGTCCTTTCTTCACTGACAGTCAAGAAAGGTAGCTAGTGAGGATGCGTGGAGGATGTGACATCCTTTAGGTCAGAACTGATGTCAAAGCAACCTGCTTCTGTCTCAGAATTGCCATGACTTGAGAAGTCTTTGAAGGCATAATAATACGAAGCTGCTAGGGCATTTTGAACATTAACTTCAGCCCAAAAACCATACCTGGACTTTGTTTTCCTCTCTTCAGGGTGCCACCCTGACTTTCCTTAATAAGAATAAGAATAGCTAACATTATTGCATGCTTACTGTGGGTCAGGCACTGTGCTAGGTGCATTATTTGTTCCTTTTCTCTCCTTTAGTCTCCACAACTCTATGGGATAAGTGTGATTATTATCTCCGCTTCCCAGGTGAGAAAATTGAGGCTTGAGGGAATAACTGGCCCAGTGTCACAGAGTTTACTGGTGGAGCCAGGGTTCTCACTCAGGCACCCTAGCATTAGATCCTATGCTCCTAAGCACCAAGCCATGGTGCTCTGTTGAGCATGTAACATTTAAAAGGCCTTGACTAAGAGTTAAGAGAAATGTGTTCTAATTGTGGTTCTGCCATTAAACACAGTGTGACTCTGACCAGTCACTTCCCTTCTCTGGGTCTCAAGCTTCCTGAAGTGCATGATGAAGTAGAATGAGATAGCTCATCTTCAAGGTTCCTTTGTTCTGTGTGGCTCTGATGGTCTGGGTTCCCTTATGTGGACAGAGAGGAGAGGTTGTGTATTAGTGTTTCCTAGAGGGACAGAACTTACAGGAGAGATATATATATGGGGGTTTATTAAGTATTAACTTACATGGTCACAAGGTCCCACAGTAGGCTGCCTGCAAGCTTGAAGAGCAAGGAAAGCCAGTCCGAATCTCAAAACTGAAGAACTTGGAGTCCGATGTTTCAGGGCAGGAAGCATCCAGCACAGGAGAAAGATGTAGGCTGGGAGAGGTTGGTTATTGAAGGAAGTGATTTCCAAGCCCATTTTCCTAGTGTTATTGGAAAATTTCAATTTGTCAGTTTCTCAGCTTGGAAAAGTCACCTGAATGACTCCCACACCTCTACCCACTCATCTCCCTGTCTTGTGGTGGGGGTATCTGACCTCCAGTACTGGTGCCAGGAAAGGTGACAGAACAGTGGTCTTCAATTTCATTCATATGAACTGTGGCTTGGGCATCAGATTAAGGCACATCAGGTGATTATGGTGTACAGCCAGGGTTGAGGATCACTGTCTTTGAGGAAACTTCTACACCTCTTGCTCAGTGGTTTCACCTGCAGAAGGAGGCACCTGTCCTA